TATTTAAATAATTTTTTTTTTTAATTCTTAAGTTTTTGGCTTGCTGCTAAAGTTGTTTCGGCTTTGTAAGGTGGTTATGTCTAAAATGCCGTTCCACGTGAGTGTTAAGTCTACTACTGATTGATTTTTTCAGACAGCGTTCTCAGTAATTTGTTGTTATAACAAATATTATTAAATTTTCTTTTGCAATCTTTTGTTGTTACATTTTTAATTTTATATAATTGATTTTTATAAATTTTTTAATGCATTTTCTGCTCGCTTGCTTCAAAAAGTATTTCTCACCGTAATACAGTTTCAATTTCCACAAATAATTGTAGTTTTAAATGTATATTTAAGCTGGTACATACACCTAAACACAAGCTGCTAAGTACGTGCGCCTAATCGCCTGTGGAAATTCAGCATACTTTCAGCGCTAGCAGCTCCAATTCGTTTTGTTTTTATAAGCTTGTAATTTTTTTGTTTTTATTTTTATACACTTGCCATCCTTTTGTTCTTTTTTTGTTTTTGTTGCATTGTACATTACTTTTAACAAACTTCTAATATGCTTTCATTTATTTGCAGTTATGCTCCGCCTCCCATGGGCTTCGCATAATTGCTGGCAGACTTTCGTATTTTGTTTTTGACTCTTCTTTTTTTGTTATTTGTATGAAGTTTTACAAATTATGATTGACTTATGCTTTCGTTTGCTCCTTTCAACTGACCTCACACAAATCCTTTACAATTTTACAAGTCTTCTACTTTTTTGTATTTGTTTCATGTTTTTGTTTTTGTGTGTTTTTAAACAATCGTTGCCACTCAAATCATTGCGTATACAAACTAGTCATTACATTTTTTAATAATTCGAGTAATTTTTCCTTCTGTTTCGTTACTACATTTTGTTTATATCCGTATGTATGTGTTTTATTTGCTCTAAGGAATTTGGTTTTCATTATTTATAGTTTTTTTTCGGTTCAACTTTTGTGTTTATAACTAAATTTTTTAAATATTCATATGTATTTTTAGTATATGTATGTATGTATATGTACGTATGTATTCATATATATAGTATGTGTCGTTCTCATATGTATAGGTTGTTAGTATGTATGTGTAAGAGTGTATATGTGTGTGTTTTTGTATATGATTGTGATAGTTTTTTGTTTTGTTTAGTTTTACATTCTATATGCATACATTTACATATATACACACATATTGCAATTATTATATATTTTTTATTTTTGTTAATTAACGAATACTCAAAATGCTTAAACGTTGAATTTACGCGAAAATAGTTCATTGCTCATGGTATGCCTAAATAATATAGTGATAATTCAAAGTACATAGGTTTATGTGTTTATATGGTTTTGGTAGTTTCGCATTTAATATTCAAAATTTGATACATACATATACAATAATATAGTATATTACTAACGTTCAAGAACAAAAAAACAAAAAAAAGAAAAAGATTGCTTTTATTTGCTGCTTGCTGCTAATACATTTCTCAATTAACTAATTATCTTTTTATTGGATTATGCAAACGTGCACATGCCATAAACACTTAAATAATTAAATGTAGAGGAACAAAAACAAATGTATTATGCCCGCAATTTGTTTAATTTACAATGCGCCGTTGGTATTTGATTAGTTACAAGGCATAAATCGCTAGCATTTGCTATGAGTTCACGCGCACACGCGAGTATTTTTCACTGCAACGCAAGCGAATCAGCATATTTATAGTCTTGACACAATAATTACGCGGCATACATATGTATATAGCTGCATATATGTATGTATGTATTTGCAAAATATGCAAATAACTGTCAAACAATTTACTGGCATCAAAAGTGCATTTCATATGCAAATAAACGCTTAAATGAGAGTTTTGGCTTTTTTGTTTGTTAAATGAAACTCGAAGTCTTAAGAGGGTACTCTAGTCTAAAAATAAAAAAGAACGATTTTTTATATTTTAAAGTTTAATTATACAAGAATATGTCTACAAGAAGATTCTTCAAAATTGCAGTTTATTTTCGGATTTATAAGTACCTTGCTGGCATCCAAACTGGTTCGCTCGTTCAGTCGTAACTACTGTAATCGCGTTTTTCTCGATACTGTCTCTTTCTAAACAATGCCCTCGATTTCTCAGCATTAATTTATAGAGTCTATAGACTTGTCAATACCCAAAAAAAAAAACTAAAAAAAAATCTAGCCCCGTTTGGATCGGTAAGTTTTAGTTTAAAACAATACCAAAAATTCCTCTGGTTCTACTGAACCGATTTAACTGAAATTTTTATAAAGTCTTCTTTATAGACGTCTGGAACTAGCCTTATGCGCAGATTTAATTTTTTACTATTTATAAAAAATTTTAAAAAAAATTTCAATTATGTTTTTTTTCTTTTTCAAGCAATAGCCACTTCGCGAAAAAAATATTCTTCCACTTTTTCGTAGAACCAGACATTGTGGCATTATTCTAGAATTGAATAGAAAGCGTCCACGACAGCCGGGTCTACGTAACCGGAACGTACGCGGATTTTTTATCCAGTCAAGGACTGTCAACTCGACAGAGTTATGCCGCTCTGATTCAATTTTCTTTTGCTTTCCGATTGCCAAATTTAAAATAGTGGATAAACTCCCGTGACAATTTCTTAGATCGCCACTTCATCAGCTGTTAATTTTTACATTTTTAATTTTCCGGTTTTTTTTTAAATTTTTTTTTTTCTATATTCTTGTAATGTTAATAAATAAGTAATTAAAAATTGATAGAAAACTGATTTCAAAATTACCTCTATCATGCTTCTAGACTAGAGTACTCCCTTTAGAGGCGATAACTTAGTCAAAATGGAAATTTGAAAGTGACCACAGCTAGGTCTCAGCGTTTAACAGTTTTTCCACCGCCTTCTTCGCATAAGTTAATGTATTTAATTAAGCTTGCTTATTTGACTGGCAGCAATGCCAGCAGCTTACTAGCATCAAGTACTAACCGTTTGCGTCTCATTTGCAGATTTTTCAAAGTTGCATAATAATGTTGAAAATTAATTTACTTACTTAGCTAAAGTTTAATTTGTTTAGTGATTATGTGTGTGTGTGTGCTTAGTATAAATATAACAAATACAATATATGCTTTTAGTTTGTCTATTATAGTTTGTTTGTTTGTTTGTAGGTAATTGGTTTGAGTGTGACCAGATAAGTGAAGATATACTCGTTTTTTTGCTTTAAAT